GTTGTCATGTGTATTAATCTATCTACATTACATACTGTATATTACAGTGTTATTTTTCTTTTAAACTCATATATATCAAAAAATTAAGAGAAAGTATTATTTTATATTTATATACATCTTACTAGTTCTGATGTTCTTCGTTCTTTCATAAAGATCAAACTTTTCATCTGGTAATTTTTCCCTTCAGGCTTAAGAATTTTCTGTAATATTTCTGGTACTATAAATATGCTGGTGACAAACTGGCCTAATGTTCACTTATCTGAAAGTGTCATTATTTTGCTTTTATTCATGAGGACATTTTTGCTGGATGTAAAAGTCAATCTGGATAGATTTTTTCTTAAATTTCAGCACTTTAAAGATATCACTTTCTGATGGAAGGTCAATGGTCAATTGCAATTTTTCCTCAGTATGTTATTTTTTATTCTTTTAAGATTTTCCTTTTGTAGTTTATTTTCAATAATTTAGCAATGAAGCCCTGGCTGGTGTAGCTCAGTGGGTTGAGCACCGGCCTGCGAACCAGACAATTGCGGTTCGATTCCCAGTCAGGGCACATGCCGGGGTTGCAGGCCGGTTCCCTGCAGGCCACTTCCCAGCAGGGGATGCATGAAAGGCAACCATACATTGATGTTTCTCTCCCTCTCTCCTTCCCTTCCCCTCTAAAGATAAATAAATAAACTCTTAAAAAAATAATTTAGCAATGATGTAGCTGGGTATTTTATCATACTTGGGGTTCACTGAGCTTCTTATTTTTTGCCTCTGGAACTCAAATTACATATATGTTAGAACTTTTATAATATCCAACAGATCACTGAGGCTTTGTTGATCTTTTATAATTTTTCCCTCTGTGTGCTTCAGATTGAATAATATAATTGATCTCCAAGGTAACTTACTTTCTTCTTTCATTTCAAATCTGCTGTTAAGCCCACCCTGTGAATTTTACTTCAGCTGTTTTAATTTTCAGTTCTAGAATTTGTGTCCAATTCTTTTAAATTGCTTTTATTTCTCTGCTCTGATTTTTCAGTAGTTTATTTATTAAAAGTGTGTTTTTAATTTACACCTATTAGTATAGTTATAATAAATAGCTTAACATCCTTTTTATTAATTCTAACATCTGGTCCATTTTAAGGCTGATCTCCATTGATTGCCTTTTCTTTTGAATATAGGTAATATTTTCTTCTTTTTTTTTCCTACATATCTTGGAGTGTACCCTGAACTTTGTGAATGTAGGATCTCTATATTCTTTTATTTATCTGCGAAGTATTTCTTCTGTTTATTTGTTTTAGTAGGCAGTTAATATGGCTTAATTGAAACTCCAAATTATCTCTTATGGAAGGCAGCACTGAAAAGTCTATTTCTGTCAGTTTCATTTAGGTTTTTTGGACTCTGTCCCTGCATGCATAATTTATGGTTCTATCAGAGATTTGGACAGTTTTTACATAGAATTAGGGTCTCCCACTTTATAATTCTATCCATTCATAGATTTCTCTCATCACATTCCAGTCTTAGGGGTCAACCTGAATTCTGTCTGCTCGCTCTTGAAGCCACTAGGACTATGTGAGCCCTGGCCTGTGAGAGCCAACTGTGCACATCTTTTCTCAAGCTCATCATGTTGATAGAATTGGCCATGGTGGGAGTATTTAAAATGTGGAAATTGAGAAATGCTACAAATCAGGCTTAATTTATTTCTTCCTGGAGAGCCAGTTTTTAAACAATTAACAGCTGCAAACTTACTCGTAGTTTCTCTAGAGTTTTGGTTGCTGTTTTGGCTTGGGGCCTGCCCTCAGGCGAAAATTCCTATAAAAAGGAGGAAATTCACCTAGTGTTGTTCCTTTCTTACAATTGTCAACTCTCTTCTAATTATGCCTGTTCGTGACTACTTTCCAATGCATTCAGACTGTTGTATTTTTTGTCTGGAGTTTATTTTTATCTGCAGCAGTTTTGGTTTGATAGAAACTGCCTCAGTCCTACGAGAAGTGGTTCTCATAATGTTTGTCTGTGGTTGCAGTGAACTGAGAACATTTATGAAAATGCTAGTAATTTCTTACAGAGCTAAATTTGTATAATTTAAAGAATAATTTTTGTAATGAGAGTATTTTCACCTAACTTCTTTGTATTCAAATATATTTTCTTTCTTTTTTATTTTTTAAAAGATATTATTTATTTATTTTCAGACAGAGAGGAAGGGAGGGAGACAGAGGGAGAGAAACATCAATGTGTAGTTGCCTCTCCCACGCCCTGCACTGGGGAACCTGGCCCCCAACCCATGCATGTGTCCTGAATGGGAATCAAACTGGCAACCCTTTAGTTTGTAGGCTGCACTCAATCCACTGAGCCATGCCAGCCAGGGCGATATCTTTTCTTTAAAAAATGATTGTCCCCTAGAGGATTTACTTGTTTAGTGTATTTTTAAAAATATTTTATTTATTTATCTTTAGAGGGGAAGGGAAGAAGAGAGGGGGAGAAATATCAATGTATGCTTGCCTCTCATGCATCCCCTGCTGGGAACTGGCCTGCAACTCAGGCATGTGCCCTGACTGGGAATCAAACCTTGATCTTTTGGTTCACAGGTCCGACCTCAATCCACTGAGCTACACCAGACAGGTGTTTAATGACTTTATTTGAAAAATAATTTGGCCATTTACTGTAATGGGTTGAATAGTGTGCCCCCCCCCCAATCATGTCTATCCAGAACCTAAGGATGGATCTTATTTGGATGTGCAGTCATTGCAGAAGTAATTAGCTAAATATCTTGAAATGAAATAATCCTGGATTTAAGGGTAGGCCCTAAATCCAGTGACTGGTCTTTTGATAAGAGAAAAGATGGGGAGATTTGGTCACTTAGAGACACAAAGGAGGAGATAATTTGAGGACTGAAGCAGAGATTGGAGTGATGTTTCTACAAGTGAGGGAGCACAAACACCACCAGAATGTGAAAGATGCAAGGAAAAATTCTCCTTCTATAATCTTTGGGGTAAGTGTGGCCCTGTCAGTATCTTGATGTTGGGCTTCTGGCCTCCAGAACTGTGAGAAAATAAATTTCTATTGTTTTAAGCCAACAGATTTTTTTTATGGCAGCCCTAGGAAATAATATAGCAACCGTAGCTAGTTCATACTATTTTGTTTTGCCATTTTGCTAATCTTTTAATGTCAATGGCTGTTACCCTAAGAACCCTGAAACACCAACTCAAAAGAACCTATTCACCCCAATGTTCACAGCAGCACAATAGCCAAGTACTGGAAACAACCAATGTAAACAAATGTACACAAAAATGCATATTTCTGCAGGAAGTAGTGTGCTTAAATATGTGCTCACATAAACACTTGCTTTATATACAACTTGCATGTTGCTTTGATAAACAAAAATACTATACCTGGGGTCATCAGTCTGGGTGATGGCCTCGATTTAGTCATTGATTCACTATGATATTGTATAAACTAAATTTTTTTCTGTGGGCCAGCTTCTTTCTGTACAATGAGATGGTTATCTTTATAGGTCCTCTCAGCTCAGGGACTTTGAGCCTATGGATCCCTGTCCCTCTCTCTCTCTCTGTACTCAATGGTGGGTTTATGCTTTTGAAGAAGAATGTAGTTGGAGTGGAGTACATGCGTCTCACTGAATACGATAAGAGAGTGTTAGGATTTTTTTTTTGAGAGGGGACTCAACAGAATAATAGTTTAAACAGAAATAGCATACTGTGGGAAAAAAATTAAATGCCTATTGTGTCCTAGTCACTGTATGTATTTTGAGGCCAGTGCTTTTATTTAACACACACACCGTAGCTCACATTCAGCCAGATACTCTGATGGCCATTTTGATTCTCTGACTAAATGTGCTGGAAAACAAATTATGAGGAATTTTGTTTAAAAAACCTTTAATCCTAATCATTATATGCAGGTGGAAGCTGAACTCTTTGATAGGAGCAGATTTTTATGCATATGTTCATATTCATATTACCCCTGAAACACTCAAAATGGAATGTCTGTAAAGTGTGATTTGGGGTCCAATTTGGGTACTAACCTTTGTAGAACCTTTGAAATTGTTAGTCTACATATTCACTCTATAGATCAATTCCTCTTTCACCCGGGATTTTCCTGTCTTAGAGTCTAGATTGTTAGATGCAAAGGGGGTCTTTCAAGATCATCTACATCTGTGACCATTCATTGTGCCATTGAGATAATGAGGGCCAGATTGAAGAAATGATTTAAAGTAGTTTTTCAGAGGAAGAACTCAAACCTAATTTCCTTTATTTTATTCTTAGTGTAGGTCTCGTTCCACCCTCTGTTGCTTTGTTATTATGCCCAGGTTTTATTTATTGTACCCCAATGAGAATGTAATTATTTTATACTTTGAATTAATTAATCTCCTTCTTTCCCCCCTCCTCTTCCCCTTTGTGCAAACTCTCATGTGGGCTCACACACTTATGTGCACATATTCCCAGCAATTTTTTTGAAAGGAAAGCATTGTGGTTTTGCAGCTTTTCTGTTTTGCTTGAAGGGAAGCTCCAGCTGACAGTTCTGAATTGGGTTCATAATTCTATTTGGTTGGGGGTGAGGTGGCCTTTAGGTCATTGGAGGATCAATGTGGCTGAACCCTTTTGTCTTAGTGAGGTGGAAATGACAATCTTTGATGTATGATTTTCTAAAACCCATTTTTGTCCTCAGATGTAGAATGTTAACATACAGGATTGTCAAATCTTTATTTGGAGCCTTCGCTAAGAACGCACATCCATAAAGATGTAAGGGATAGAGACCACTTTTCTCTGTCTTGAAGCAGCTTAGTAAGCATTACACATCAGCTAAGGTAATCCATACTTCCTTTATCCCATTCGCTTTTACTCTTTTGCTCTCTTTCTCTTCCCCTTGCTTCCTCTGCTCCTCCCCTTCTCTTTGAGCTTCCCTCGATTTCTCTGCTGGATACATTAAGGAATAAAACAGTACTTTAGTCTTTCCTAAAACAACTACAGATCCAAAGCCTTGCAGCTCTGTATTTGGAGCCCCAGCACAGCTGCGTGCTCCGTGGTGAATCCGAAGCCGGCAAAGGGGGAGGGGACAGGGAAGGAAGGAAGGAAGGAAGGAAGGAAGGAAGGAAGGAAGGAAGGAAGGAAGGAAGAGGGAGAGAGAGAAAGGGGGGAAGAGAATAGAGGGAGGGAGGGGGGAAGAGAGGAGAGAGAGAGAAGGGGGAGGAGAGAGGAAGAGAGGGAGAGGGAGGGTGAGGGAGAGCGTGAGCGCGCGCAAGACAGCAAGCAAACCAGAGAGGCAGAGGAGAGAGGGACCAGGATAGAGACCCAGAGAAAGAGAAGAGGAAGCAGAGCTCTGTGAGGGCTCAACCTCCAACTTGTTTCAGTTAATTCATCCTTTTCTTCTGTCCACTTCAGGGAAGTGACTGTGACGCTTGGTAAGAAACCTAGATGTCCCTCCTTCCCCCTCCCCCAGCCTCAGGTCTTCTTTAGCGATAGCATCTCTTCCCCCATACTGAGAGTCTTCTTGGGTTGGCCGGGAAGGCGAGACATGCTATGCAGCTGTTATGCTATCCTGGGTTCCCTGTGGGGCTAGTGGAAGCACAGAGTCTGCATCTGGGCAGGAAGGCGCTGGGGTAGAACCTGATTTAGGGAGGGGGTGTTGTGATGTGGTGTATGCGCGATTTGCTTCGTTGTCACTGAATTGTTTTGTTCTTCTTTGGAAGCAGGTCAGCATTGACCTTGCAAATTGCTTGGGGGGGGTGGCCCTCAGCTGCTGCAGAAAGCCATCCTATGGCCCTTAGCCAGAGCAGACAGCACTGTCATGACCCTCCAGACAGCCCTAGGCACAGGGATGGAGTAATAGCTGGAGCTTCCTTTCTCCTTTAACTCTTTCTCTGCAGCTGCTTCTCCTTGCTGGAAATGAGAAAGAAGAACACCATGCAGTTCCTTTTCCTATCTTTGTCCTCTTCCCTATTACCTTCCCCAAATGCAAGCAAGTAGAAAGTTGTAAATAATTGCTTCCTTTAAAAGCAGATTGAGACCTACCCTGAGTTGCTTCATAAACTTGGGAGGTTTCTCTTGCTTCCCTGTGGGAAACTCCATTGCCTGCCCACTCCCCATCCCAGTTAGTTGAGCTGACAGGCTAGACCAGGGATTCAGATGCCTTACCCCAACATGCTGGCAAACATGCCATTTGGTCTAGCTGTGTCCTTGGGAGGGAAGAAACACCTGATGGTTTGTCTGGAACTGGCTTCCAGTTTGCTGCTTCTCTGTGGCTGAGGGTTGCCTAAGGGGAAAGACTGGGGAGGGGTGGCTGTTGGATTTAGAGACAGGGTGAGGAGCTAGTATTCCTGTTGTGAATAATATGGTTTATTGAGGGTCAGCAAGTCTGCATGTCTAGAGCTATGCAAGGACTGGTTGAAGCTATTGCATAGCCTTTCTGAACTGGTAGGGGGAAGGGATCTGGTTGCTTGATGGAGGCTTTTTGAGTTTTCAACAGTGATGGGTCCATGATGTAATTACAACATCAATATTACTTATTGCTAATATTGCTGACTGCTTAGTAAGTATTGGATCTTGGACTGAGGTTTAATGTGTATTATTCTTACCTCAACCATATGAAGTAGATATTATTTTTATCTTTGATTTACTGATGAGGAAACTAAGGCACAGAAAAGTTAGGTAGATTTTCCAAGTTACAGAATAATTAAATGTCCCAATCAGGAATTAAAACACAGACAACCTGGTTCCAGAATGCATAGTCTACACCATTAAGCACTACTGCCTCCTTGGGGAGAATTTTGAACCTTTCTGTTAGGCAAATGTAGGTATGGTAGGTAGGGTGCTACTTGGCAAGATTTGGGGGGTTGGTTAAAGTAGCAGCCAGACCTTTGTGTAGCATAAGAGAAACTTTTGTTGGAGCATAGTGACTGGCTATTGTGGTGCCAGTCCTCAATAGGGTTTGCTGTAGGGACCGCCCAAAAAGCTTTCCTTGGCCAGCTTGTTTTCCTTTGAAAGGATGCCTGGAAAGACTTCACTTTGCCACTGTCAAAGCCTCATCCATCTCACTTTGAATGAAAAAAAAAAACACATTCCTTTTAGGACCATATCTTGCTCTTATTTTCTGAAGGTTTAGGGTTACCCTGTCCTGAAAATTTTAGAATACTAAAACCTTGGAACTAGAATGATTGCTAAAGATCATTAAGCTTCATTTCTTCACCCAGTTCTTTAATTTGCTCTAAGCATTCAATTTTTTGACTGATTTCTATTTGAACTCCCTTGCAGAGACAGAGAGCTCATTAGATGGATCTTTCTGTCTTTGAGAAAGTCCTATTGTCAGAAAATGATCTCCATTATAAGCTAAGCTCTGTCTCCCTATAACCTTTATTCATTGGTTCTTTGGGATTATATGAAACAAATTTGTTTCTTAATAATAGCTCTTCAGATAGTTGAAGGCAGCAATCACACCTTTCCCCTCAAGTATCAGATCTGACAAGATCATAAGTAAAGGGTTATCATTTGCTTCTTTTTGATGACTAGACTTTTATTAATATGATCTAGTATCCCATTCTCTTGATTGTCAGCCACAAACTAATTGTACTGAGCTTTCTAAAGCAGTGTTGACAGTGTATGTTCTTTTCCTTGGAACACCTTGCTGTCTGATATCAAGTGGACTGATGGGAAGAAAGAAACTTTTCTTTTCCTAAAGACCAGGAATCAGTTGGTTCTAGTCCTTCTAAAAGCCCAGAACATTCATTTAGCAGTCAGACAATAGGCATGGTGGAAGACTTGAGAAGCAGGGTTTAAAGATAGTTATTATAAAGGAGACAGTTCAAAGAGTGGTGATTCAAGCTTTATACCATATTTGGAAAGAAGAAGAATAATTTGTTTCTGAGATACTTTCTGATAAAACAATGACATCACTGAGCGATGGTACTGAATGGGATTGGGTAAAATAGGAGTGAGCATGCAGTATGCTCGAGTGGAAAACTTACTTGGGTTTTAGCAAACATTAGTTCTATTCCTAGCTCTACCATTTTGTCAGTTGCCTTGGACACATTACCTTCTTTCTATGGACCTCAGTTCTTCCATCTGTAAAATGCTGAGGTAGAGGCTATCACCTCGGAATTTTTTTAAAATTTGAAGTACACTATAAATCTCAAGGTTCTAAAGGTCTTCAGAAATCATCTAGCCAGTGCTTTTCAAACTTTAATGTGCAAAAGAATTCCCTGGGGATCTTGTTAAAATGCTAATTCTGATTCAGAGGATCTGGGGTGGCACCTGAGATTTTACATTATAACAAACTGCCAGGTAGTACTCCTGAACTTGCTGTTCCAGTGCTTGACAAAGTAACTTGGAGAAGTGGCAGGGTTTTGGTTTTTTTTTTTTTCAAATATTACAATCTATCACAGACTGTAACTTTAGTAAAATACATTAACTATAAATTGCTACAAATTAAAGAAAAATATGCAAAGTATAAATTCATAGTGTTATTATTAGCTTCAAAAGAGAAATTATTTTTGCCAAATTGCTGTGACATTTTGTAAGTGTTTATTCTCAGTTTCTGTCATTAGAGTGTTGGTGCCTAGTAACATATGTTCATGGGCAGGTACTGCTCTGTGTACCACACTTTGACCAGCATTGTTCTAAGCTACCTGCCTAACTAATTTTAGAGGCCTAGATTGGGCCCAGTTACAATTTCTAAATCATCTCTGCTAGGTGATCTCTCACCCTCAGGTTAAATGTCTTTTTTGATAAAGAATTTAATATCACCCTGGCTGGTGTGGCTCAATGGATTGAGTGCTGGCCTGCAAACCAAAGGTTTGACTCCCAGTCAAGGCACATGCCTGGGTTGCAGGCCAGGTCCCCAGTGGAGGGTGCCTGAGAAGCAACCACACATCAATGTTTCTCTTCTTTTCCCCCTTCACTTCTAAATATACATAAATAAAATATCTTTTAAAAATAAAAAAATAACTCAATATCTTTTATTCCTCACCTGTGGCAGTTTCAATTTTGGAGCTCATGTGGCGCAATCAGTTAGTATGCTGTACTTATATGATAAAGAACTTAATATCCTCATGTAATAGGTATTGTGAATGTCATGAAAGTTTTTAAAGCTTATATAAATTCCACTCTTAGATTAAATATTCCAATCAAGTGGAGGCTGTGTCAGTCAAGTTTATTGTACTAGCAGCTACAAGCTAGTGTATGTCATAGAGCAGGTACTTAGTAAATGTTTGCTAAGTGAATTAATAAACCACTTGATATTAGCTGTGTCTTTTGGGGTCATACTGTCATTAAAGAGAAGTAATTTTGGTTTACTTCCAGTATTTGAGAGTCAGTATTTATCCTATTTTATAAATTTCTTATGGTGAATGGAAGACCAGCTTATCCATCCTAAAGAGCTACATGGCATCCCAATTTTACTTTCAAGGAATTATAGGAAGCCAAATCCCAAGTCTTTACCTTCAATTCAGTCATTCAACAGCTATTTACTCATTGATGTGGTTAGGCACCATATGGATAATACAAAGGGGAGCAAAACAGACACCATCCTTGCTTACTTGGAGTTTATGGTTTGATGGGGAAGAAGCAATAAATCAGATCATCACACAACTGTGTTATTTCAGCAGCCATGAATCTATGAAGGAAAAGTATGCGGATGGGGGGCTATAAAGGCATAGAACAGAGGAAATTGATCTTAGCTTTGGGTTTACAAAAAGCTTCCTTGAGGAAGTGATATTAAGGCTGAGTGGAGACATGAGGGTGGGGTGGGAGTGATGGAGGGGATGGAATAGTTTTCTAGATGAGGGGAAGAACATGCAGGAGTACCCTGAAATGAGAAAAACATAGTGAATTTGAGAAATAGAACAGAAGCTGGAATGGCTGGAGTGAGCTATTGTAAAGATTTTGGTCTTTACTCCAGAAACACAGAAACTGATGAAAGGCTTTTAATCAGGGCTAGTGATATGGTCTAAACTAAATTTATATAGTATGTTTCCAAGTGCATACTATGAATCAAAGGAAATGAGGAACAGGCTGATTTAGCAATAGCCTCTGCCCTCCGAGATGACAAAGTAAGAGAGGGAAGAAATATACAGACAACTATTATATTCAAAGAATGAGATCCACACCCATAAAAACAGAGCAAAAGGGCTTATAGCCAAAGAGATCAAAGACAGTTTCTGAAAGTCGTGTTTGAACTGGGCTTGGAAGATTACACACATTTTGAACCTGCAGAGCTTGGGGGATGGGAATGGTATTCTAGGCAGAGGCCAGAAAAGCAGAGGATGTGTATTGGGAATAGTGAAGAGCTCAGCTGTGTGGGAGTAAAGTACATGGTGAAAGTATATGAAAAATGTTTGGCAAGATAGATTGAGAGCTTGACTGTAAATAAGATAGAATGCTAGCTTGGAAGATTAGGGTTGTGCTCTAC